TCCCTCTTTTCCCTTGTCGCTTATCCCGCTTTTCCCGTGTCCATTCCCACTTTTCCCGTGTTCCTGATCCCGCTTCTCCCGTGTCCTCATCCCGCTTTTCTCTTGTCCTCGTCCCCCTTTTCCCGTGTCCCTCATCACATTTTTCCCGTGTCCATTCCCGTTTTTCCTGTGCCCATTCCCACTTTTCCCGTGTCCTCATCCCCCTTTCCCGTGTCCATTCCCTCTTTTCCCTTGTTGCTTATCCCGCTTTTCCCGTGTTCCTGATCCCGCTTTTCCCGTGCCCATTCCCGCTTTCCCCATTCCCACTTTTCCCGTGTCCTCATCCCCCTTTTCCCATGCCCATTCCCGTTTTTCCCGTGTCCATTCCCCCTTTTCCCATGCCCATTCCCGTTTTTCCCGTGTCCATTCCCCCTTTTCCCATGCCCATTCCCGTTTTTCCCGTGCCCATTCCCGCTTTTCCCGGCTCACTCTCCCCCCGTTCCTGCGGCGCTCCCGCCGTGCAGGAGCCGCTCGCCCACGCGGCTCCAATTCCCCGTCTGGAGCAGGAAAAAAAAAACCCTGGAGCGATCCCAATCCCAACATTCCCGACTGGCTGCTCCCGGTGTGGAAGGACGGGAGGGGTGGAACACATCCAAAGGAATTTCGGGATTAAGGAATGTGGCTGTGCCACAGGGAGGATTTTTTTTTTTTTTTCTGCCTGGAGGAGGATTTGAACACGAGGATTTGATTCCTGGTGTTTGGAGCGGGAGATTCTCCGGGATAAAGGGAAAACTTGGATATGCTGGGATTTAGGGCGAAGCCAGGAAATTTGGGATTTGAGGAAGGATTTTTAATATTCCAGATGTTGCTGGCTCTGATCCCAGTGTTGTGCCTGGAGTTTGGTGGGATCAGGATACCTCCTGCATCCCATGGCTCCAGGGGAAAAAGTCACATTCCCAAATTCCCGGATCTTTATTCCAGGAAGTGGCACAGCAGGGTGGGGTGTCCATGTCCTTGGATCCCACGGGAATGGCTGAATCCAGGGAATTGGGGCTGCTCCCATCCCAAAATCCATCCCCACAGGCACTCCCGGCCCATGGCGCTGATCCTGGGATTTGAGGGGACGCCAGAATTCCTGGGAGCTCTTGGAATTCTCTGTCTGCTCCGGTGGGGCAGGAAAAGAGATGGAATCCACAGGTGGCCAGGACAAAGGGATGGAATTCCTGGAATTCCTGGGAAGATCCAATGGAGATGAGCACGGAGGGAAAATCTTCCTCCTCCTCCCCTCCTCCAGGAGCGTGGAAAGCTGGGTTTAAAATTCCAAGGATTTCTTGGAATTCGCTGGGAATTCCCAGATCAATATCCCCCGGTGGGTTGAACTCGATTTAATCCCAATTTTAGCCAAATCCAGGGAAAATCCTGTTTGAAGCTCCGTGTGGATTTTCCAAGCCCAGGGAATGTTCGATCCCAGCAGGGAATTCTTTGGATCAGCCGGATTTTGGAGGATGCAAAAATCCCTTTCCTTGGAAGCTGCAGCTCCAAACTGAGCTCCTGGAGCTGCTCCATGCATGGACCGCTGTGGGAAAAAAAAAAAACAAAACAAAACAAAACAAAAAAAAACCAAAACAACCTTTGGAATTTTTTTCTTTAATCCTCCTTTCGGGAAAAGAGAAGGATTTCCAAGTGAATTTCATTTGGGAGGCTGGAATATTCCCTCTTCCCTTTCTCCCCTCTTTGCCTTCATTTCTTTGGATTAAATTCCTCGTTTTCCACACAGAGAACATTCCTTGTTTTCCAAAGCAAATCCTTTTTTTCAGGAGAGGTCACACAGAAAAGCAGGAAGGGAACGGGAGCTTCCCTATAAAATATTCACCAGCTCAGCTCTGCTGGAGTCTCCTGAGGAATTTTGGGATCTGGGATAATGAGGTTTTTCCTCCTCCCACCTCATCCTTTATTCATGTGCCCTTTCCGTGACTTTTCGGGATGGTTTTTCCTGAAGGAGCTTTGGATCTCTTTGTTCCTGCTCCAGGAAGGGAAAACATCCCAGAAGAAAAAAAAATGGGAGGAGGGAATTCCCTTCATGGAATCGGTTTGGATTGATGGGATTTTATGGAGCATCCCATTCCAGCCCTGCCATGGACAAGGACACTGGAATTCTTTCATCCCAGCCTTTCATTGAATGCTGGAAAATATTTTTATGGGAAAGAAAGGAATTTTTTTCTTGCCAGGATCTTCCAGAGAGCAAGAGGAGCCTCCTGGAAAAGTTTTCCCATTCCAGGAGGAACCTGGATGTTCCTGCTTGGATTATTCCCAGGATGGTTCATTTTCCCCTTCCCCCCCCCCCCCCCGGTTATTTTTGTTTTTTTTTTTTTTTTTTTTTTTTGTTTTTTTTTTTTTTTTTTAATCCTAAAATCCCACTTTTTTTTTTGTGGGATTGACTCTGGAATGCTCAGGCTGGGATGATCCTGGATTGCTCCTGGAATGGTTTGGATTGGGAAGGGATCTTAAAATTTCCCATTATCCCAATCCTCATCCAGCTTTTCCTTGGACACTTCCAGGGATCCAGGAGCAGCCACAACTTCTCTGGGAATTCCATCCCAATATCCCATCCATCCCTGCTCTGGATATTTGAATCTATTCCCTCTTTTCCTGTCATTCCATACCTTTGGGAATATTCCCTCTCCATCTT